CAACACATATATACTTTGTTATTTATTCTCACAATTTTTCCACTCTCCTATTACTTCCCTTTATTATGCAATTGTTTATTTCAATAAAGTTTTCATAGAAGATCTCATTTGTGCTCTAAATTTGGTGAGCTATATATAAATGTTGCCTATGTTATATTTATTAATGTTTTTTTCATTTTTGGTATCAAATGGACAGGTCCCTAAAGTCAGTAGAGTGGAAAACTAGTTGACAAAGAATTTTTGTATGTGGAGAGCAAGAGAGAATGGGGAGATGTTTAGGTTTAGTCTTGTTAGGATAAGAAGCTAAATGTTGAAAAATATCACACAAGAGTAAGGCATTATATGGGTTAGGGCTTTTATTTAATTCAAGGGAATTCAAAGTGAGCTTTTGAAATTGTAAGGAACATTGGTGTAGACATACTAATGTTCACATGGGTTTGGGCTATAAAGATTAAATGGATTTATACACGGAATGTATCAAGAAGTCCATACCAAGGACCCAATTAGATATAAGACTTAGGATATTTGGGCTTAAGATAAGATACTAGGCTAGGATGATTTAAAATGGGGAAATTGGGCTCAATAAATAAAGAAATTATTTCTCAATTATGAATTACTCGTAGGGATTGATTCGGAAATTAAGTAAGGATTTTTGGGGTGTCAATTCCAAATAGAACTGTTGAAGATGAGATAGAAAAGATACTTGTGGAGAAGAAGTTGAGCCAGCCGTTGTGAAGAATAATCCACAAGTTCATAAGGATGTAGAGAAGCCCGTGAGAAGGTATGTACCCCCATTACCCTTTCCTCAAAATTTTGAAAAGCAAGCAAAAGAGTGTAGGTGGAAAAAGTTTTTGGAGATAGTTGAGAGTTTGAAAGTTTCAGTTCCCTTACTTGATTTGCTTTCACAAGTACCGTCTTATGGAAAATTTTTGAGGGATATTCTAGCTAAGAAAAAGAAATTTGGTGATCATGAGATGGTAGCTATGGCACAAGAGTATAGGGCTTTGACGCGTAGTGAAAGTAGGAGTACATTGAAGCATAGAGATCTGGGAAGATTCACAATCCCATGTTTTATTGGAGGCCAAGTGATAAAAAGGTCCCTTTGTGATCTTAGAGCTAGTGTTAATGTTATGCCTATCACTTTGTAAGAAGTTGAATTTGGGAGAGCCTAAACCTGTCCAACTTACAGTGCAATTTGCTTATCAATCTACTACTTGCCCAAATAGAATTCTTGAAGATGTCCCAGTTCGTGTGGACAAATATTTTGTGCCATGTGACTTCATTGTGATAGATGCCCCACAGAATCCCAATACTCACATCATCTTGGGGAGACATTTCTTGGCTACAACTGGAGCATTAATCGATGCAAAGAAGGGAATTATGATTTTTTACTTCGGAGAAGAAAATGTAGAATTTAATGTCATTAATGAACCAAAGTCCACTGTGTGAAAGATTGTTATATGATTCATAGCTAGTCCCTTGACATGACGTTGGAGCATGCAAAGTGGAACAACTTTTTTGGGCATAGATTCACTATCGATGATCTACCAGATTGAGCACTCCATAATGAGGTTACGTCGAGCTAGCGACGTTAAACTTAACGCTTCATGGGAGGCACTCCATGTTATCTTTTATTGCTTTCCTATTTATTGCTTTCTAGTTTCGTTTTATTTAGTTTTTATTGCTTTCTAGTTTCATCTTATTTTATTATTTTTTGCTTTTTAGTTTGTGTTATTTTTACTTTCTCTTTTCTCTTATTCTCCATTCTTTTGTTTTGCATCAGGGACGATGCAAATTTCTAAGTGTAGGGGAGGAGTCAATAATTTGGGGAAAATTTTCAAAATTTGTGCTTTTGCTTGGATGACTCATATGCTATTTTTTTGTAAATAAGTTACTTGTCTCAGCATGCAATTGCAATTACTCTCTCTTGTTGGTTTGTGGTTTGTTTTAGTGGTGCTTGCTGCATCTCAATTTGTGATTGATGATTTGAGGTGTAACACACAATTGATCTATTCCCTTGCTAATAGCTTTGTTAACTACTTTATAATTGGATTAATTCTTGATCTTGTGTGTTATGCATTGCTAGTGAAGGCTTATATGAGATTTTGGTCATGGTGTTTTGCTAGAACTTGCCTCATTACTCCCTAAGTGAAGTCTAAGTTTTGCATGTTTTGAAGTTATTTAGGCCATTTTTGTTTAGCCATAACCACGGCTAGAAATTATGAAATTTCTGACCACCTGAAAGTGATCTTAAATCAAGTCGAAAGTCTTGTTCCGACCACTTTTGGTATCCGAAAAAACCTTTGTTGCTATTTTTGACCACTTTTTGCTTTCGACTTGATTTAAGATCACTTTTAGATGGTCGAAAATTTCATAATTTCCCGCCGTGAGCCTTTAAACCTGTCCCTACATATGTTTTTATTCTTCGTGTCCGCATTGTGCCTCTCGTTTGTTTAAATAAGTGCTAAGCACTTATTCCCTCATTGTGATTGTTTTTCTTTGTGTTACCCCATTATCAAGCCCTTGGCTAAATATTTTCCCTTCCACCTTTGAGAAAATGAAACTTTAATCTTTATTATTCCTGTAAGAAGAGTTTTATAGAGTTGTGCCAAAAAAGCAGCTTATGATACAAGTGTTCAAGTGTGGGGGTCTTGATTGATTGATTGGATTAAAATTATCTTGCTGACTCCAAAACAAATCCAAAGAAAAGAATCACAGAAAAGAAGAGAAAAGAAAAGAAAAGAATGAATGAAAGCAATATTGAAAGTTGTTGATTTTTGATTCCCACTTCACCGAAGAGTTGTTATGTTCTTAAAGTGAATTTTGCTCCGTGAATTGTGATTATCTCACCTCTTCCAAATTTTGAAAAATGTACTACTAATCAGGAATAAAATATTACATTTTATGTAAAAGTATTACGGAGTATATTTTTCATCAAAAGTATTACAGTTTTTCTTATAAGTAATGTTGGCAAGTGTTTATTACTTATAAGGAAAAATGTAATACTTTTGAAAAAAAAATATAATACTTTTAAATTAAAATGTTTTTCTTGAAAAGTATTATACATTCCCATATATATAAGTAATATATACTTCATTTGTAATTAGTATTACATTTTCTAGTATTACATTTAATTTTGAAACAAGGAAACACCTCTTATGGGGTTTATGTGCAATATATGTATTTTCTGTTTATTTTTAAATCTTTTTTTCTAGTGTTTAATAGTACTATTAATATAATTTCTAAGTATATAAATTTTAGGAAAAGACTACAATATTGTACCTTTTGTACAAACTCAAAGTCAAAAAATGCAATGACAATATTGATTTTTTGCACCAAACTCAAAATATTCACCATCCACTTTGGAGTGTTACAAGGTATAAGGGTCATTTCTTCTTCTTCTTCTTCAAAAAAAAGTATAAGAGTCATGAGTACCGGCTAACACCTTAGAATTTTAATACATTGTTTATACTAACACTAAATTTAATATTATAAAAAACTGAATTCTAAATAAATTCAGTCAATAATCATTAACCGAACAATACGTACACATAAATGCGACCAAATGAGTATAAAAATGCCGTATAAGTAAGGAGGCCTATAATTAACCTTGAGAGCTAGTCATTTTGATACAACTTTTTTAACTTTAACCTATTATTGAGACCATTACACTTTATTCAATTATTATGACCTAATTACATTTCAATGTATAGTTTAATTTGATGGTATATTTGACCATTTTTCAAAACAAAAAGTGCTAAGTAAACTCTAAGAAAATAAAATTTTGTATATACATTAATTTTGTTGGGAAAAAAATGAAGAAGAGAGAAATGAATAAAACCTAACTATTTTTTTTTCTTAATAAATTAAAGCATGTCATGTTAGTAAATAGTTAAAAAATGAGAATATGCGTAATCTTAATTAAACAAAAAAATGTACAATTCACCCTATGTAGAGCAAATAATGAAATTAGGAGTGTGCATTCGGACGGTTCGGACGGATCGGGTGAGAGATAGGTGCATCCGGTCGGATTTCGGTTTTGTATTTTGACTACCCTATCCATTTAAAAATGTTGACTTATCCGGTCGGTTATATCCTAGTTCGGTTTTGGTCGGGTCGGTCGGATATCCGAAATTATTTCGGATATTAACAATTGTTGAAATCAAATAAAAAATTCATAAATTAAAATCAAAAGCAAAATAATTAAGTAATTGAAAGTCTGAAATACTGAATAATACTGAATAAATAAGTAAATAATTAATAGAATAATAGTGTAATAGACTAATACCAGTAATACTAAGTTACTAAGTTTGTAATTAGTATTACTAAGTAGTCTATTAACTAACATTAAGAGTCTTAACTCTTAAGTGGCTAAGAGTCTAAGAGACTAAGACTCCAAAAAAACTAAAGAAGTACATACTAGCTTGTATACTACTTACTACATACAAATTTACATAACTGTTTAAACTTTAAACCGAAGCACCACAAACAAATTCACCCAAAATCAGCAACTCAGCATTCAGTAACTCCTAGACTTTTAGAATTCAGACAATTAGAGTAGTTATTCTTCTTCCTGTGAATTGTGGCAAGTTAGTGTAGATAATTAGTACACAAGAAAGTAAACAAGTAAAGCAACTGAGCAAGCATTAGAAAATGAAAAACAGAGAAGGGATTATATAAATATTGGCTCAGTAAGCATATTTTACATATCATTTGGATTAAGGGCCTACTGCTTCCATATACCTTAAGTATAGAGCAACTGACCAACTTAATCCTTTCCTTTTCAGATTGAAGGTGGAAGCTTCATCATTGCCAAACTTGCCAACTTAAAGTGAACAGACAGAATAAAATAGTCCATACATTACCAAATGCCCAAGGTACATGAGGCAGCAACTTAGTACAAGTTACCAGGCCTTCATACTTACAGAGTTACAGAGTTTGAGACTTACAGATGTCCAGTGGGTTCAAAAAATAGCAAGTGAGATTAGATTGCAATTTAGTTAAACAGTCAAATACTGTAAAAGATTGCAATAAAATCAAGTAATGTAAATAATAACATTACAGGAATTGTAGCAAGTGTAGAACCAAGAGACCTCCCACTTCCACCATCACCACTTAACTCTGCAAAATAAACAAGAAAAGTATTAACAATTTAAGCAATTTAAAATATAAGTATAAAGGATTATAATGTTCAAACTAAAAAGTCATACCTTTTTCAAACCTCTCCAAATCTTCCAGATTCTCCTCAATACATAAAGGAGTATTTTGCTTTCTAAGCCAATCTTGTGTACATACCAATGCTTCCACAATTTTTGGAGTTAAAGAACTCCTAAAAGGATCCAATACTCTTCCAGAAGTACTGAAGGCAGATTCTAAGGCTACAGTGGAGATTGGAATGGCTAGGACATCCCTAGCAAGCTTAGACAGAACTGGAAACCTAGCAGAGTTGATCTTCCACCATCCAAGTATATCAAAAGATTCTTCCTCTTCAACTATTCCCTCACTCAAGTACATATCCAACTCAGTTTGTTTCTTACCCCCAGACTCCAATCTTTGCTTTTTAATTTGGGACTTCAGAAAATGTTGTGGCTTCCCAACAGAAACAGAAGAGGCAGATGTAAGCTGTACAGACACAGGCACAGAAGGGACAGGCACAGAAGGGACAGAAGAAGAGGCAGATGTAGAATAATCATCAAATAACTCAGCAAGACCAGCAACTACTTTGTCATAGAATGTTTGACCCTTTTCCTCACCATACATATGATTAAACTGAGTAGACATATACTCTAACTTGTCTCTAGGGTCTAGAATGTTTGCAAAAAATATCATTAGATTCATTTTTTCCACATCACCCCAATACTTCTCAAATTTTGCCTTCATATTTTTCCCCATCACACCAACTGGCCCACCAACTTCTACCATGCCTTTCAATAGGCAGTACAGATCAGAAATCTCAGTAAAGAAAGTGTTTGAGGTGACATATAAAGAACCAGAAATTCTAATGGTCATGTCATAAAAACACTTCAGTAACTGAACCAGACTGCCAACAGATTCCCAGTCCATAAAATCAGGAATTGAATTACCCAAATCAAACTTAAAAGAGCAATCAGACTCCAAAGATTCAAACACTTTTTGGTAAGTTAATGCAGACTGCAACATTAAATAGGTAGAGTTCCATCTGGTTGGAACATCTAAACACAAAGAAGACCTTTGTTCAATACTCAACCAATCAGCCAAATCCCTGAACTTCTTGAGTCTAGCAGGAGAGTTTCTAACATATCTAACCACCTCCCTAACCTTCTTAACTGAACTATCACAATCCTTAAGACTATCTTGAACTACTAGGTTAGGTTTAAGATATGGGCAATACATCTCATGTGAAGATACTTTGTCCTCACAGTAGATGATCCCCAAGACAGCATTTTTTTCTTCAGAAAAACCATAGCAGTGTCATTTGATGAGGCATTATCAACAGTCACAGAAAACAAATCTCTAAGCCCCCACTAAAGCAAACAATTTTCTAGGGCTTTGGCTAGATATTCACCTTTGTGAGAAGTAACAGGGACAAATGCAAGGATTTTCTTATGAAGCTTCCACTTAGAATCAATGAAATGGGCAGTAACTACCATGTAGTTAATTCTTTGGATGGATGTCCAAGAATCTGTAGTGATACTAACTCTATGACTGCTTCCCCTTAACAATTGCTTCAATTTCAGTCTCTCGTCATCATAGACAACTAGGTTGTCCCTACTTATAGTCCACCTGGATGGAACTATAAACCTAGGGCAAGCAATAGCTATGAATCTCCTGAAACCTATTCCCTCCACAAACCTAAAGGGCAATTCATCTATGATTATCATTTCAACCAAGGCCCTCCTTATTGACTCTTGATTAAAAACCCAAGTCCCTATTTCTCCCACAGTAGGCTGACCATCTGTAAGTGATGTAACAGCCTGAAATGTTAACAGGGACTGCCTAGTTTCCTTGGAGTGAGGATTTTTCAAACAGCTAAACATGTGATTTCTTAAGGAAGAAGTCCCGTGTTTTTTTGTCTCACAGTGGTAAATTTTGGCACAATAAATGCATTTGCCTTTTACAACCACATTATTAGTGTCCTTTATTGCCTCAAAATGATCCCGCACTGGTGATCTGGAAGCAACCTGGTTTCTCTTCTTGGCTGGAACAGCAGTAGGAGGTTGCTCATTATGTTGATTCTCAACAGTTTGGGCTTCCACCCCTGAAGGTCCATCAATTGAGGAGCTGGGAGGTTGACTACCAGGAGTACCAGGCATACTGATATTATCCATCTAAAAATGGTGAACTATCAGTACACACAACAGGATTCAAAAGCATTCCAGAATCAGACACATTTTGTGTCATCATTAAACAGGAATGCATAATTAATTAAAGGGCATTATTCAATACAAAATTACAAATATACAAATACAATTAAGGGAATACATCCATAAACTTACAAAGAAATCCAGATTCAGGGATATATTTAAAATATCCAGATCAGAGACTGTTATAACATAAAAACAGCTCATTTCATCAACATCATTAACTGAATTTCTAAGGGGCTTCCACCAATTAAAGCCTTTAAGAGACATTATAAGTTTATAACACTCAAATTAAACAGACTCTTATTAGTTAAAACAGTCAGTGCTTCCACCACAAGGGACAAGGGACAAGTGATATACAATCTGGAACTTCTCAACAGATTGACTTAATCACAGTCCACAATTCAAAGAATCATAGAAACCATAATCAAGTATCATAACATCACAAACAAGGGACAAGGGACAAGTGATATACAATCTGGAACTTCTCAACAGATTGACTTAATCACAGTCCACAATTCAGAGAATCATAGAAACCATAATCAAGTATCATAACATCACAAACAAGGGACAAGGGACAAGTGATATACAATCTGGAACTTCTCAACAGATTGACTTAATAACAGTCCACAATTCAAAGAATCATAGAAATCATAATCAGACACAGTCAGTGCTTCCACCAGAAATCCATAATGTCACACAACATATCACACATTTACAGATTCTGAAATCAAGTTTATAACACTAGGGTTTTCATTAAAAGTCAGTGCTTCCACCACATTATCACAGAGACACAAAATAGATCACAAATTCGCAATAAACTCAGAGCAATATGCCACTAACTTTAAGAAATAACTTTTACAAAACTAGGGTTTGCAGTAACAACTAACAAAGTCAGTGCTTCCACTACAATATCACAGAGACCACATAATACATCACAATAAATTTAAGAATAGGGTCAGCGAGTAACTTCTTTTCTCACAAATACCCCGGAGAACGAGGGCTTCAGGCCTTCAGTTTACTGGAAGTCGACGTCTCGATGACACCAGTAGTCCACCACAGCACCACTACACCAGTCAGGGCCTCAGGGCTTCCACCAGTGACCAACCGGACTATAACAGAACCAACCGGACAAGGAGAGTATAGACTACAAAGAAGGTAGTCTTTGTCTAGTACAGAAGAGACTAGAGAGAATTGAGGAGTGAGGACTAAAATCGCAAGGTGCGACTGTGCAGAGAACCAGAGAGAACTGAGAGTCTCAGAGAATGAGAGAAGAGAAGCTCTCGTCTGGAAACCCTAGCAAGAGAAGGGAATCAAGAGACTGACTGCGCAAGTGTGGAGTTAGGAGTAACAACATATATATATATATATTAAGCCTAAACGACGTCGTATTGCTATCTACATACGCAACCCTAGCTTTTATCGGGTATTCGGATGGGTCGGGTGCATTTTTAACCCACCCTACCCGAACTCCGTAAACCGACGTCGTTTTAGGCGTCGGTTCGGTTTTGCGACTCGGGTATCGGTTCGGTTCGGTTGGTCTAGTTCGGTTCGTGGTTCGGCCGGTTTTTTCGGTTTCTTCGGATTCTGCTCAGCCCTAAATGAAATAGAATTTTCTAAATCCATTCCCCCACCCACCCCCCCCCCACCCCCTTCCCCCTTCCCCCTCCCCCTCACCTAATGAGTAGCGGTTTAACTCAACCAATGAGTGCCACTAATGAGGATAAGAACATGAACTTCATAGTCCAAATAATGCTCTAAGCATTGAAAATGAATTTCAAAATTATTTGATTAAAATTAGATGTGGGGAGCAGAAAACAGAGTTTGATAAACAATGAAGAGCTTGATATTCATAGTGGTGGTGGTGAACAGTTTGATGTTCTTTGATAGTGGAAAGAAAACACTCATAGATTTGCCTCATGATATATTCGGAATTCCTATATCCACTGTCACATCCACCGCGTTTTTTTTTCATAATCTTGGACGTTGATTTAAGCAAAATCAATGGCTCTATTTTAACCGTACAACCGCACCTGGGGCTGTCCACCGCACATGAACCTGTTTATATATATATATATATATATATATATATATATATATATATATATATATATATATATATATAGGGAAGGGATCAGGTGCATTTGAGACTTCCCATGCAGTTGTGTGGTTGGAAGCACATTAAGCATTACACTGACGCACTTGAAGTAAACAACACACGCACATTAAACACACAAACAAAATACATTCAGAAAACAAACTCACGCACATTAAGCACAAAAGTCAGACATCTTAAGCACAACCCTCACGCACTTTAAGCACAAAACTCACGCACTTTAAGCACAAAAGCACAGGCACCTTAAGTTTTAACAACAATTCACATTAAGTACACACTCACGCACATTAAGTACAAAACTCATGCACCTTAAGCACAAGACTCACGCACCTAAAGCACAAAACTCACGCACATTAAGCACAAAACTCATGCACTTCAAAGTTTCAACAACAACTCACATTAAGTACACACTCACACACATTAAGTACAAAACTCACGCACCTTAGGGACAAGACTCACACACCTTAAGTACAAAACTCACGCACATTAAGTACAAATCTCAGGCACATTAAGCACAAGCCTCACGCACATTGAGTACAAAACTCACGCACATTAATCAACTGCACAACCACACTGAAACCTTACAATATATATGTATATATATATATATATATATATATATATATATATATATATATATATATATATATATATATATATATATTCATATGAGGCCATATTAGTCTTCTTTTAACCCATACATTCGCGTGTAATTAGGGGCATATTCCTAAGAAGCTTCTGTTTCCATTCCTGTGCATCCTCGTAGTCCTTCGCGGCTACTTCTCTTTGTTCGTCCTCCGCTTTGGCTGCTTATCATATGAAACCTACGCTAAGCGGATGAATAGTAGTTTTTTTTTTTTTTTTTTTTTTTTTTTTTTTTTAATGAAAACAACACTATATGGTTACAAGACTAATATGTGTGTGATGAATATTGGGAGAAAAGGTAGTTTTCATTACTGATGAAGTCCATAATATATACAAGAAGTTAATGAAGGTAATGCTATACAAAAGACTATTCAAAAGGAAAGAAAATAAAACTAGTTGTACAAAATAATACTCCAAGACTCAAGAATCACTGCAATATTCCTTTGAATTTATTTCCATATCATCTCACTACAATATTCCTTTTGATTTATTTCCATATCATCACGCCTCCCTCAAGTTGGAGCGTGGAGATCCATAGCACCCAACTTGCTGACCCGACCACTTTTTACCTGTGCGTCAAAAGAATGTTTGTGGGATGAATCCCGGATTGTATCGTACTCAAAGGATGGCAAGTCGGAGTTATCCCTAAGTTGCTAATTTCAGAAAATAAAGATATTGGTATTGTTTGACTGCATGTCACACACACACAAATAAGATTGATTGTTATGGTGGAACTAATGGAATAATTACTAACAAGTTGTAAATAAATGTAATAGATAGGGTTGAATTCCTTAGTGTAGATTAAGGTGCTCTTAAAATCGGAAAGAGGATGCAAATGCTATGTCTAGGGAATGGCTTGTGTTCTTTCGTAACATAGACTACTAGGACTTGTTTAGGACTCACCTAAACCTTTCCTCGAATGCCTTGCCTACAATTCCTTCCCAACCAAGTCCTGTAGGATTCCTTGAGCTAGGAAATGCTAAGGATAGAAGCTTGAATTGACCTAACAAAGGTTAATCCCTCAACACAATCATAGGAGGTAATCAAGCTCCTTAGATGCAAACAAATCAATCCCCAACAACAAGACATAGAAGCGTTGCAGTCAATCAATCCCTAATTCAAGAACTAAGTCACAAAGGCATCATCATCACACACTTTCACAATTCAAACCCTAACTAATCTAGCCTACAATAGCCATAGGAATCATTTAAGCATTCATGAATCTAATCTAATCAAGCAAATAGAAATGAAAAGAGTAGAGATTATACCAAACAAGTAGATTAGGAAATAATAGTATAAATTAATAGTATAGATTAATTAATAATATGGAGTATTTATTTTAATTTGAGCGGAAAAGTTGAAGAAGATGATTTTACTTTTATTAAAAGTATAGATTTATTTTATATATGGTGATACTAATAGATATTAAGGTAATTGTATATCTTCAACCAAATAAGATATTATCATGTTCACATTATTTAAGTAATCAGAAATGACTTGAACCAAACATTCCTTTAAATTTTATTCTTAATTTTTATTTATTTATTTTTTTGTGAGCCAAATGTCAGTTAGTTGCATTGTTGCAACATGTATGAATGACATCTGAAATATGGGATTCTTTCCGCAAGTGCACGGCACTAGGCGATTTGACTTTTTGTTATTATTATTATTTTCCAAGAGGTTGAACCCAATCCTAACAGGGTGTTTGGTTGGAGGGGGGAATTATGTGGGAAAGGAATTGTAATTCCATGGGAGTTGAATTACTGGGAATAAAGTGGGAATTTAAATTCCAGTGTTTGGTTGATAGGAATAGAATTACTGGGAATTTCAATTCCAATGTTTGGTATACATGGGAATTGAAAGGGAATATGTAGTATAAAGTCAAAAATGTCCATTATTGTTGTTAGACATTAATTTTAGGTTAAAAAAGGAAGGGGTAATTTTGACTCATCACTATCTTTTTTTCCCAGGAATTAAAATACCAGGGGGGGACATGGGATTTTAATTCCATGAAAATGGGGGAATTGCAATTCCATGGAATTGCAATTCCCTCCAACCAAACTACGGAATTTAATGGCCTTTAGAATTAGGTGGGAATTAAGTGGGAAGGGAATTTAAAATCCCTCCAACCAAACGCCCTGTAAGGATGATATAAATCAGGGTAACTCAATTGAACATGAACTATATGGGATAGACATTTGCTCAC